CATAAGCGTGTCGTATCTGTATATGTGATACAGATTCATGTTGATTTACATAAACTTTAACTTTGATTTTCTCGGCTTAGACAACGTTTATTTTTAAAATTACTTCGCCAATGAACTCACAAGATGAGTCGTTTTTTAAGCCATTTTTTCGGCTCGAGTTTGTATATCCGATATACAACACGGCCGCTCATGTTGTAAATAGTAATTATAACTTTGCCTTGACGTCTCTGTCCAGTATATTACCCGTGTTACAGTAACACCTGCAAACGCTTGTAAAGTAATCAAAACATCGCGAAATATTTTAGGTGATATTGTATTATTGTTCGATTTTACTACACTGACACTGTCTGCTCAAAACAATAGCTCGACAAATTCTAACAGATTTTACAATTGTTCCATATTGTAAATTTGTATACTGGTATATGTATAACAAATATATCTCTCAGCTCTCGCAGATAATCGGTTTAAGATATGAATACGTACAAATGAAGATATGAAATGTTCAAGATTAAATGTTTTGAAACTTTTGACGACCCAAGCCTCAAGGTCAAAGTCAAGCCCCACAATTTTCGTGGGTAAAGCTGTGATTGGCTAATTTTGGGGAAAGGAATTCTTGGCCAAAGTAAGCATACCTTACGTGAGGGCTCAGCCCGCTAAGTAGGTATGCGTAGGAGACTAAACATATATAGGCTTGAAAAATTTTAAACTTATTAATGTAGATATAACATGTAACTATTTTTTGTAAACCTGCATATTAAGCTACCCTGCTTAAAACTCTTAAATAAAGATTTGACTGACTGACTGACCGACCGACCGACCGACCGACCGACCGACCGACTGACTATTAGAGGTGTTCATTGGATCGGATTGGTCGTTTATAATCCGACAATTGCCTAATGTTTAAAATCCGGTCCGATCCGATCAGAATTTGTCTAATCCGAATTCGATCCGAGATTTGATAAAGAATTCCAATCCGATCCGATCCGAAGAATTCTTTAATAAAATAAATTTCTCATTCAAGTTGAAATATTTAACCAAATAAATTATAAAAGCAAGAAATACATGTCAAAAAGCTGACAAAGTGACGTCCAATTGAAGTATCAAACGAATAATGCAGCGACAACCGCGATGATCGATGCTTTAATAAATTCTGAAACACCGCTCTCCCCTTGTGAGAGTATTCAACCAGTTAATACTCCAAAGCAACCCACAACTTCAGACCACAGTAAATCACAACAGCCTCTACAAGATAGAAATGATCAAGATACTAGCCAAAAAGCTCGCTCAAAGAAACCCCACTCTGAACAATGTAGTGCCTCGGAACACCCAGAAGTACAACAGTCTCCACAAAACAGTAATCGTAATCATCAGAACAGCATTGTTTTAATTGGCGACTCAATGATAAAGAATATTATTCCTGAGAAGATGACACAAAGGAAGGTTTACAAATACACTCATTCTGGAAAAACTGCAGATCAAATTGCTTCTGAGGTCGAGAATATTAACCTACATGAAGCATCTTCGCATGTAATAATCCATGCTGGAACAAATGATTTATCTCTGGACTCAAGTAATGATTGTATTGATAGTATTGAAAACTTATGCTTATCAGTACAAAACAAATTCGCTAATGCAAAAATTGGAGTATCGAGCATAATCATACGAGACGATATCTCAGTCAATGACAAGATTCAGGAGGTGAATGAAGGAATTAAAGAATTATGTAGAAATCGTAACTACAGCTTTATTGACAACTCAAATATAAAGCTAAATGCACTCAAGGGGAGTAAACTCCATCTTAATGCAAGGGGTTCTGCTTTACTTGCATCAAGATTTATAAAATTCTTAAGGGGAGAGTTATCACCAGGTCCATCTACTCAACCCCGCACAGAAAATTTTCGGCTGAAGGAGACTTTACGCCAGATGCTGAACTTAATCAGGAGGATTTCGATGCAAACTTAGCAAATATTAATATCTCAAATAACACCAAAGGTCAAAGGGATGGGTCAGCTTCAAACTCAAGTCCATTTCCTGATGTTGATATCTCTAAACTCAAAGGTTTGAGAATTGCAAATTTAAATGTTAATAGTCTAACGAGGCACGTAGATGATATTCGAATAATGTTAACTAATTATCCTTTCGATATACTGGCCATTAATGAAACCAAGCTTGACTCCTCTATTTCAGACTCGGAAATCTATATAAATGGTTACACAATTATTAGGAAAGACCGAAACAGAATTGGCGGTGGAATTTCCATTTATATAAAAAATAATATATCCATTTTGAAAGAGTCAATTTAACATTAGATTCAGGAAACCTTGAATTGATTTGTATTGAAATTAATAGACTACATTGTAGGCCCTTCTTATTAAGCTCCTGGTATCGACCTCCTAATTCTGAAATTGAATTGTTTGATAATCTTGAACTTTTTCTGTTCAAATGCGATATAGAGAATAAAGAACTGATACTGATTGGGGATACAAATTGTGATTACATGAAAGTATCCTTAGATCCACACTCTCGCAGGCTGCAATTTTTATGTTCCCTATATCAATTATCGCAATTGGTTGATGAACCAACACCACGAGTTACAGAGACATCTAGTACTTTAATTGATCTTATTCTAACAAATAGACGAGAAAATATTCTATCGACTGGTGTTATTCATCTTGGAATTTCGGATCACAGCTTAATTTATGCTGTGCGTAAATTCAAATTACCGAGATCTAGGCCTACTAATAAGGAAGTTCGTGATTTTAAACACTTTTCGATTGATAATTTTCGCGCAAATTTACTTCAAGCACCCTGGGATATAGTATTTTCCTTTGTTGACCCTAACGCATGCTGGATTTTGTGGAAGTCATTTTTCCATGAAACACTTAATAAACATGCACCACTCCGCCAAAAACGTGTTAGATCAAATCCAATACCCTGGATAACACCTGCTATTAAACAGACTACGCGTAACAGAGATTTCCACAAAAAGAGAGCCATTAGGTGGAAATCTAGCTATCATTGGCAGATATACAGTACTTAGGGACTGCTCATTATTTATTGTACAGGGGGAGACTGATGAGAAACTCTACAGTTATAATATTTTTTCGTTGCCCCCGTCTTAAGACAAGCCCCCCCCCTCAACAGGCAAAACGAGAACATAAATTTTGGTCCCCCCTCTAGCTCTTTATCTTTAGTTAGAGAAACAAAAGTTCTAGCTCATTATTTAGCGAAAAAAAATAGATAATAGGGACCAATAGACAATTCCCATTATAGACTAATTTTTTATCTTAGCAAAAAAAGTATATTCCCGGGAAGGGCATACTAAAATTAGTAAAGTTGCAAAGTTTGGTTGCGAAATGTAGTAAAATATGTAGAAAATATAGCCTTCCAAAGTTTGCAGGTTTTGTATACTTTTGTATTGCAATTTTCGCATGCAATACAAAAGTATACAAAATTTGCAAGGTTATATTTTTCCTATTTTACAACATTTCGCAACCAAACTTTGCAATAATTTACTTATTTTAGTATCTAATGCTCTTTCTAGCTGCGGTGATTTATTTGCATCAAGGCTGGATTTTGAGGGGAGGTGTGGAGAGGTGCGCACCTGCCCTGAGATCGTTTTTCACCTCCCCTGAGAATTTTCCCACTTCTCCTGAAAGGTCATGCACCTCCCCTTGGGAAAGTTTCAATGATGGAACAAAGTGAAAATGTGATGGTTGCTTAGGATCTACACTTCGTGCCGTAAGAAAGTTTTCTCTGTAAAATTGAAACAGTGATAGCCATTCATCTCTGTGTCAAGTACCCTTTTAATGCAATGTTTTGAAAGAAACTTTGTAGCAATTGTAATGAAGGGCAAGATTGGAGTCATATACATTCATAATTCTTCAATAAACTGTTACATATGTACACTACATACATACGTCACCTCGTTGATATTGGCCTGTTCTACAATAAGCCCTAACTTTCCATGGGAGTTGTGAGCTAGACCGCTGCACCTCCCCTAAAATTTTTTCCACCTTCCCCACTATTTTCACCAAAATCCGGCCTTGATTTGTATCTCTTTGCCTAGTTCTAAAATTAGTCTATAATGGGAATTGTCTATTTACATGAACATAAGAGACTTTATATTTTGGCTTCCATTTATGAATATTAAAGGTCTATAAACATTGTTATTTGTTAAGTTGTTTTGTGATGCATTTTTAAAACTACTATTGTTTTTTCAAACTGGTAAATCTTTTCAAAGCCCCCCTTCTTTCATCTCTATGTATTTTCTCAAAGCCCCCCTTTCAGGATTTAAAAAATTAACAGCCCCACCCCCAGTTTCTCCTCAATCCCCACCCCCCCTGTACAATAAATAATGAGCGGTCCCTTAGGAAGGGAAAAACTTCTACCAAATGGTTTCCCTCGATAAAACAGTTTCCCTTGTTAAAATATCACTCGATAAATCAACATGTACGTCGGTCGTTGTTGTGTATCCAGAAGGCAGAAGACATTTTTTCTACTTGCGGTTTATGCCCTTTACTTTACAGCGACTTTTGCTGCGTCAATTTATTGGTTTTAAGAAATAAAATAACATTAACCTTGTATTAAATTTCATTGGCTAAATTTAAGGTTCAGAAACGGTTAAGACTGAATATATCAGTTTTGAGGACAAACTTTTTGCACATTTTCACTTGCTTTTAATACAATACAATGCAATAATCAATATTATAAACAAATCCAGATTTTTTTTACCTTCCTTTTGCTCGGAAAACTGACCAATCAAGGTCAAATAGTATTTTTTTATTGTAAAATGGCATTTTTAAAACTTTTCATGTAAAAAAACAAAAAACCACTTACCTAAAGACAAAGTTCACGGTCATTTTCTCAAAGCAAAAGTCTTCATTTTCGAATATTGCCATCACTCTGTCTTGTAAACTGGGTGTTATAGGCCGTGGGCTGTTGTGCGAGAAAGTGCCTAGAAAAGCAATTTCGTGGTACCCCCCTGGCAAATAGATTTTCTGTGGTTCAATTCATAGAACCATAGATGCTTAATTATCACAAAAATTTCCCAAGCAAAAAACTTGCCCAACACCGAGAAAATGGGTGATCAGTGATTATCCTCTATTAAACTGTATTACAGCAAGAAAATGTGAAATTTTGTATTCAATTACAACAAAAATAACTTGCATCATCAGAAAGCTTACAAAAACGTACATATAAGATATTTAAACAGTTTTTTTATATCTAAAATTGTTTTCGAGTTATACGCTGTCAAAAACATAGAGATTATAAATAACACTAGAGGAGGCATCGAGTTTAAAAATTGGGAACGCAGCTAAGGGGGCAAATTCAAGTCCCGGATATAAAATCGTGCTCTCATTGGCTGATTTGAAACTCGTCACCAATGGGAACACGAATACACATCCGGGACTTGAATTTGTCCCCCAATAGCTGCGTTCCCATTTTTTTACTGAATTAAGATTACAATGCCTCCTCTAGTGTTATTTATAATCTCTATGGTCAAAAACGCGTTTGTGACCTAGTACCCAGTCCTTATTGCGACAATTTTGTCCAATTTTCACATTTAAAACAGCAATAACTCAAAGACTATTTGAAAAATAAAAAAAACTGTCTAAAAGTCTTATATGCGGTTTTTTGTACGTTTTTCGATGATGCAAGTCATTTTTATTGCAATTAAATTATAAAATTTCCCATTTTTTGCTGTAATACAATTTAATAGAGGATAATCATTAACCACCCATTTTCTCGGTACTGGGCAACTTTTTGCTTGGGAACTTTTTTTTGGTAGTGACGCACCTTTATGCCTTTCAAATAAACCCCAAACGAAGTATTTCCACATGGGTGCCACGAAGCGAAATAATTTTGGTCAACAGCCCACGGCCTATTAACACTGCTCATCAAACTAGACAAAAGTCAGAACTACATTTATTTTAACAGCATTGACTTGTTTTTAGGACATTTTGGAAAAATCACGTTTTGATGCAGGTGTTAATGAAAACACCATTGGGTTATTGAAGGAAGAAGAGGTGAAAAAATGAATAAATTAATATACAGATGCTTTTATATTGTTTGTCCTAATTTATAGTTTTTTATATATACAAATAAAGTTTTTTACTACTTTAGATATTTGACAAAAATGCTCTCAAAAGAGCAACTGTGGAATTATTGAGAGGACTTGGCCTAAAAGGAGGCCAAATCCTTGCAATCAAAACTGTCTATAGAATTAAGAATCCATTGCACTGGCTTCTTGACAGGCAGATAGCGATCGCGATAGGCAGATAGCGATCGTAGGCAGATGGCGATCGTAGGCAGATAGGCAGATAGCGACCAAAGCGACCAACATCGCTAGTGTATTGGCTTCTTGACAGGCAGATAGCGATCGCGATAGGCAGACAGCGATCGCGATAGGCAGAGAGCGATCATAGGCAGATAGCGATCATAGGCAGGTAGGCAGATAGCGACCAAAGCGACGAACATCGAAGATGAATTTAGAGCTGTCTGCTGAAATAAGCTTAATACATGGCTTGTCTATTAACAACAAGGGCAAGTTTATATGGTCGTCTTCTTTTGAAGCGTTACAAAAATTTGTTTGTGAAGTTCTGGTCTTACCAGACGTAAAGTGGACTTGACCAGGAGGCCATTCCAAGCTGTACGAAGAGGAAAATATATCTATTCGTTGGTATACAGACTCGAAGTCGCTTATTCTAAGTGGTAAAGACTCGCAATTGTTTGAAGGAAAGTTAGTTGACATCGCCTCAATATCCGAAACCTTAGTCAACGTTAAGGACAAGATTAATATTTTGCCTTCTCCACAAACGAGTTCAGAAACGAACGAGATTATGATCTCTGTCACGAAGAGATTAGCCGAAGTAAAGTGTTCTTCTACTAAGAAAGTTGATCCTCCAGAAACTACTTTAGCAATTCTTAACAATAGATTGCAAAACCTAACGGAGGAACTTAATTCCAAAATGGCGGCTGTAAACTATACGCTATCAGATCACACTAAAGACTTAAGCGAGTTAAAGAATCTAAACTCGGAATCTGAACTATCCAGACTAAGAAAGGAAAATGCTGAACTTAAAAATGAAAATGCTATGCTCAAAAACAAAAATGAACAAATAACTGAACGTGTAAATAACTTGAACGTGTAAATACAATTGCTAAAGTTGATGAACAATCAAACCGATACCAATCGGAAAAACACGTTAGTGCTGACGAAGCTGGCAGTGGTCATTATACTAATATGCCAACGAAGAACAGATATTCTGTCTTTAGTTTGGATGAAGCAAATACAGAAGTCCCAGAGAAACCTGATGTCTCAGCGAATTTATCAAGCTCTGAACAACGTAGCAGCGAGCGGAAGAATGCGAAACCAACAAAAACAACTTTCGGTAATCAAGAATCTGTAACAATACTCGGAGATTCCATCGTAAAACGACTAGATGTACGACGAATACAGCAATCTGTAGGAAACAAGAAGCGAGTACACATACGTACTTTCTAGATATGGATCACTATGTAAAACCAACATTAAGCAAGAACCCTAAAGAAGTCATAATCCATGCAGGAACAAATAACATTCCAAGAGACGAACCTGAGGATATTGCAAGTAAGACTGCTAAACTAGGTGAATATATAGAACGTACTTCCAATGCTAAAGTAATTATTTCTAGTATAATTATTCGAAGTGACGATCTCCTAAATAGTAAAATAGAAGCAACCAATAGTCTGCTGCATAAGCTGTGTACAATCCGAAAGTGGCATTTTATTCAACATAACAATATTAGCAAAACTGACTTAAATGCATCTGGCCTGCACTTAAGTGCCAGTGGCACGTCTCTTCTAGCTAAGAATTTAATTGCATGCATAAATAATTGACTAAACGTTGGGGTGTAATGCTAGTAATACTAATATGTTTCTATCTCCAAGCCACCATGTCGACCCCAGACTTAACAATACGAAAACTACTACAGCAAATCGATGCATAAAGAAACCAATATTGCAGAACCTACCTAATGCCAAGCAAACATGCTTAATTCCAAAGATTCGAGGCTTTAAAACGGCAAATCTTAATATTACCAGCCTAGTTTAAGCATATCGATGAGTTCAGAATACACATGCACGAACAAGAACTTGACGTCTTAGGTATAAGTGAAACAAGACTTGACTCTGACTACCCAGCAGATCTCATCTCTATTGATGGATATACATGGATTGCCAAAAATAGGAATAGATCAGGAGGGGCTGTAGGGTTCTATATTAGAAATACAATAAATTTTCATGAAAGAATCGATTTAAACAACAACGAAATTGAAACTCTTACTATTGAAGTTCTAAAACCTAAAATGAAACCGTTTCTCATAACCACCTGGTATAGACTACCAAATTCAACTACTGACAAACTCAAGGAATTTGAAAAACTACTGCAACAAATAGATTACGAGGACAAAGAAAGTATCTTAATGGGAGATATTAATATTGACCTTGCTAAGGACTCAACCGATGCCAACACGGTAGAATTGAAATTTCTTATGGACTTATTCCAATACAACCAGAAAATTAATGAACCTACCCGAGTCACTAAGGACTCGCAGACTTTAATCGACCATTTTTACACGAATAAATGCGATCTTATTACTTCAGCCAGAGTTTCAAAAATAAAAAGTAGTGACCACTATCTAATATATGGTGTTCGTAAATTTCCAAGCCTTAAAGGAAATAATAATATTTTAGAATATCGTGATTTTAAGCGTTTCAATGCTGAAGCTTTTGGGCAAGACCTTAATTCCCTTGGTTCCCTTAATCTTCAGCATTGTAATGATGTTAATAAAGCGTGGCTTATATGGAAAAGTAATTTCACGAAAATCATTGACAAACATGCACCATTAAAGAAACGCAGACTAGGCAAAACAAGAGTACCATGGATAAATAAAAATCTCTTGACCAATAAATGGCGAACGAATAGCTTAAAGAGGAAAGCTTGTAAAACAAACAAACAATCCAAGTGACTGGGAGTCTTATAGAATTGAAAAAAATTGGTATAATCGACTGATAAAAAATACAATCAAGACTTACTACACAGACGAAATTAGTAATAACAGAGCCAATATAAAAAATACGTGGAAAAGCATAAATAAACTGATAAACAAACAACCGAAAACTTCCCATGTAGGTCACATTAAAAATGAAAATAATGAAGAAGTACAGGACAAGGATATCCCAAATGTCTTTAACAAACATTTCATAGAAGTTGGCCAGCGACTGTCTCGGAATATTCCTATAACCGACAAACAACAAGAGGCCTACATCAACGTTTCAAATGCTCGTTTCCATTTCCAAGAGTTATCCCAACAAGAAATACTCAATCTTTTATCGAATATTGCCACAAATAAGGCAACAGGTCCAGATAAAATATCTGCTAAACTTGTAAAAGTAGCAGCACCAATTATAGCAAACCATTTAACTATCATATTTAATAAATCATTATCAGAGGGTACATTTCCACACGACTGGAAAATCTCTAAAGTCACGCCAATTTACAAAAATGGACCCAAACATGACATGAATAATTATAGACCAATATCTGTGATCTCAACTATTGCTAAAGTTATGGAAAAGGTTGCTCATAACCAACTCTATTTATATTTACAAGATGAGAACCTATTATCTACCTCCCAACAAGGTTTCAGACCTAGTCATTCCACTGTAACTGCTTTACTAGAAATCACTGACAAGCTATATCATAATATTGACATGGGTGAGCTGAATGGAGTCGATCGTCTTTCTTGATCTCAAGAAGGCGTTTGACACAGTTAATCACCAAATACTATTAAATAAACTTAACTGTTACGGTATAACCGGAACTGCCCACAAATGGTTTGCATCATACTTATCCAATCGCTCACAGTATTGCCAGGTAAATGGAGGTAGTTCCAAACAGTCAAGCATGATTAGTGGAATACCACAGGGATCAATTCTTGGTCCCCTGTTATTCCTACTGTATATAAATGACCTCCCTAATTGCTTAAATAGTGTTAAGTGTAACATGTTTGCTGATGATACCCAAATTGATACATGTGGCAAGGACATAAATACTGTTACAAACGCACTAAATAATGACCTAAAAAATTTATTTGACTGGCTGACCGTAAACGAACTCAGTTTAAATACTAAGAAAACTGAATATATGATTATAGGATCTTATCGAAGGCTAAATTTAATAGAAACAGATCCTCCAATCTATCGCGGCACAGAAAAAATCAAACGAGTTAAATTGATTAAGTCATTGGGTCTAATGTTAGATGAGACGCTCAGTTGGAATGAACAGGTTAACGCAATAACAACTAAAGTAAATAGAGGTTTGAATGTACCAAAAAGGTTAAGAGAATTTGTAGACCTTGAAACTTTACTAATTGCTTATAAAACATTAGTGCAACCTTACTTTGATTATTGTTCACAGGTATGGGGCGGCATCGGCTCCACACTATCTGATAAACTGCAGCGTTTACAAAACAGAGCTGCGCGCATTATCACTAAGTGTGGATATGATGTCCGCTCTTGTGTTCTTCTACAACACCTAAATGTTGACGATCTGGAGAATCGTAGGAACCAACAACTTGCTACACTAATGTTCAAAGTTAGAAATTCGATGGTTCCTCGCTCCATATCAAATTTATTTCAAAGAACCGATGACGTACACAATTACGAAACGAGACAGGTGTAAAATTATTTTCCACCTAAACCAAACACTAATTTCAAGAAAAAATCATTTAGTTACAGGGGTACGGTGGCTTGGAATAGTTTACCTTGTGATCTTAAAAGATCTCAAACCGTCCAATGTTTCAAAAATAAGCTTTAATTGCAACGAAAGTAATAACAATTTTTATATATACGGCCTATTGGAAGATCACTCATTTTGTTTTCTCTCTGTATATATTTAGCTAGTTTTATATTGTGAAATAGCTCCGTATTGAAATAAAGTTGCAATAATAATAATAATAATAATAATAATAATAATAATAATAATAATAATAATAATAATAATAATAATAATAATAATAATAATAATAATAATAATAATGAAAACTTTATTAAATGGATATTTAGCTTATATATACAATTGCAAATCTCACTTATGTCAGGTAATTTACAACTGGCTACTTAAATCACTGATTATATATGCAAAAATTATACTATTAAGATAACAAAATGACAGTACAACGTTTAAACACTTAACAGTTCCGGATTCATCCATTCCTTGTTTCGACAACAAAATATATAATACGTTGTTCTGATTGCAATCGTCGTCATTCTTCTAATACAGTAATTCTGATGTTGCTTTTGAAAACCAAAATCATTAAGCATTTCTATGAAAGTAGAACATTCTCTACTGAAAACACCAAGAGAACTAATCGAAAGATTTACAAATTTTACTGAGTTGAAATGTTCATTTTGTTCCCTAATTAATTCTTTATATTTTGATTTTTTACGCTCACCGTTTTTTTGAAGATTTGATTCGAAACCAACTGTAAGTTCAACAATATAGAGTGTTTTGGTTGAGGTTGAAAGAAGCAAATCTGGACGGTAGGTGTCACCAGTGATGTTTGATGGACTTTTGTACCCTGGGAGATCCACGTAAAGATGTGAGCCGCTTACGGTCTGCAGGCTTGTTGCGAGTATGTTTAGAACGGAGTCATGTCTCCACGTGAATCGTTCTAGATACGATTGGCAACCAGCTACTACGTGCAGAAGTGTCTCAGGAGCTAGACATCGCGAACAGTCTGAAGTCGGTGATAAACCCCATCTTGCAAGGTTTTGGCGCGTTGGAAGGGAGTTATTGATGTATCGAACTGTAAAGTTGAATATATTTTTCGGAAGGTTCGATTGGCACGCAGACCAAATTTTAGTGAGTTGGGACAGTGAGAACTTTGTTATATTAGTGAAGAAAGAGCCTTGACAGGTTAATTGAGTATGCAGTTTATCCTCTTGTCCAGAGCGAAAGTCCTTAAGAACTTGCTTAGTGGAGTTATAAACGTCACACTGAATATTTTTGCTGTTGCTAGTTGCTTTCCAAAGATCGTTAATTGCTTCGTTTGGGGATGTTTTTAGGGCTTTACGGAGAACAGTTTGACATTGAATAAATTTGACAGATGGGGGACAAATACTGAGGCCAAACTTGTTGCGGGTTAGGAAAACAGTGCTTAGCGTTCCAGATATAGGTATATCAAGCCATTTACGGATATAACTGTTGACTTTGGAATCAATGTTTTCGGTGACCCACGTTTTCGATACGCTAGAAACTGTAAAATGCCAGGATAATTTTGACAGAAGATATCGACTGTAGAGGAGGATTTTATTTTTTGGATGTAATGGTTTGGAATCAATATCTGCCATTAGTTCTTCAACGAGTGAGATTAGTTCAGACTTGTGGTGTTCGTCTGACATATTAAAACTAAAGTATCTTCCTAAGTATTGAAAAGCCTCACCGATATTGATCTTTGGAATTAGTTGCTTGTTAATAAGTAGTTTAGGCAAGTATTGGATTGATTTTGTTAGAGCTTTTTTGATGCCAAAGGTACTACATTTATCAACCCGAATAATCATGTTGGACCATTGGCACCAAATGGAGAACCGGTTTAGAAGATGTTGATTTTCGGATTCTTGACTACTTATGACGGCGGCATCATCAGCAAACTGAAACCAGTGGATGGGATTTATAAACTGTAAGGAGAAGCCGAATTGACGATATTTATCTGTTTTTATGTGTTGTATAAAGGTGTTGAAACACATGTTGAAGAGAAGAGGACTCAGGCAATCACCTTGCAATACTCCACGGCGAACTGGTATGAAGGGGGTACGGAATTCAGATGTAATTATTGAAGTTTTAAAATCGGTATATAGACTTTTAATTATCAATTTAACATGTTCAGGGATATGGTGGTAATCAAGTACGGATGTGATCAGATTATGATGAACTTCACCAAAAGCATTCTTGAGGTCAAGTAGGGTGATGACTAGTGAGCGTTGTTTGATTCGGGCTTTATTGATTATATTGGCCATTTGTGCAGTATGTTCTAAGGTGCCAGACATGTTAGGTGTGAATCCTTTTTGAATATTATGTTCAATAAAGTTATTAACGGTTAGGAATGAATACATAGCGTTACGTAGGCAGGAAGTGAATACTTTTAATGGTATGGTCTCCAGTGTGATGGGTCGGAAATTGGACGGGGTATTAGTATCGCCTTTTTTATGGATTAGTATTGTGCAAGCTTTCTTCCATTCGGAAGGGATGGTTCCAGATAGCCACACGGCACGAATAAGGTCAGTTAAATATGTTCTTAGGAAAGGACAGCGTTTAAAACATATAATAGATAGCTGATCAAGGGGACATGGAGAGCCAGATGCCTTCGTTCTGCGTATTATATTCGTGACTTGTTGATACGATGGGGGGTCAAGGTCAAATTGAACTTCGGGGTCAGACAACGCAGGAATCCAGCTAGGAATATTGAACAATTTGTTTGGATGAATTGCAGCAAGGGTCTTAGTGAAGTGGGATAGGCATTGCGTCATGTTGAAAGATGGTAATATAGTGTCTTTCTTCCTTAGAATATTCTTGACATAACCCCAGAAATTTTTCCCGATATATTTGTCATGGTTAAGTGACTGGCTGCTGTCTAGACTTGACTCATTGTTATTGTTTGAGCGAAGCTTATCACGCAATATATGCGACACATATTTAATTTCGTCTAGTTCACCATTCGTTGATTTAAGGGTTTTCAGAGCTTTTTTCAAATCCTTGATTTCATAGTCCTTATATTTATTTAGTAGCGAATTGTCAGGCACTGATTCGCTATAACCAAAGTTTTGGGCGAAGTAATCGTATATGATGTTATTTAATAGTTTTATGTTGGAATTTAAATCTTGTGATGTGATTGGATCATTGGACTGAAGAGCGAATTTGAAATGTTCGTTGGCCGTTGACCATTCGGAATTGCTTTTAGGGAGTTTAATACCTTTTCTTAAATTCGCAATATCTTCCTTTTCAACCGTAGGAGTTTCGTTGATTGTCGATTGGTCCATTTCAGGAATATTTTCCGTGTCAGAATTGTTTTGTTCCTCTAGGTCTGTACGGAATTCACTGTCTAGACCTTGAATAACTCTACAACTGCGTTGATGCATCTTTAATCCTCGCGCTCCTTTACATACTTTACCACAGCAACACTTGATTACGGTTCGACTTGACACGACGACATTAGGAGAATTCATGACGGGCGTTTGCCTTGCCGTATTTTCGGCAGAGTGATCTTGTTCTGCGTAATTAACTCGCTGTTTACATCGCCATGAATGTCGACCGAGTGAAACGAAATCTTTCTCACAGAACGAACAAACGACGCAGGTCAACAACATTAATATAGAACTTGAGCGAATCATGATTACAATATTTACTGATGGTTATTTGTGAAATAATTTGTGATTCAAGTAATAAAATTTTGATAAAACTGCAGACACGTACAGAGCACGTCAATAATAATAATAATAATAATAATAATAATAATAATAATAATAATAATAATAATAATAATAATAATAATAATAATAATAATAATAATAATAATAATAATAATAATAATGGAAACTTTATTTTGACATTTTATGTATATACAATTATAAATCTCACTAATTAAGGTAATTTATAATTGACTACTTGAACTATTAATTATTGATAAAACTATATTACAGGTATAAAACTAAGAGAAAGCTCATTCTTAAATGTTCATCAAGTCCGGATCGGTCCAATCCTTGTTTCTACAACAAAATATATAGTACGTTGTTCTGATGGCGATGGACATTATTTTCTTAACACAAAAGTTCTGATGTTTTTTATCAAGACCAACTTCGTTCAACATTTTCATAAACGTGCTACATTCTTTTGAGAAAACACCTAAGGCACTAATAGACAAATTAATAAATTTGACTGTTTCGAAATGGTTTTTCTGCTCCGTAATTAGATCCTTGTATCTTTCCCTTTTGCGAGCAACGTTATTTTGGAGATTGGATTCATATTATAATAATAATAATAATAATAATAATAATAATAATAATAATAATAATAATAATAATAATAATAATAATAATAATGAAAACTTTATTAATAGAACATTTATAGATATATACAATTGTAAATCTCACTTCTTGAGGTAACCTACAATTGACTACTTGAATCACTTATACGTGCATGGTTATAATTTTATATACAAAAATTACTACTTATTTACAGAAATAGTTACTTTAAATGTTCATTAGTTCGGGATTTGTCCATTCTTTATTTCTACAGCAAAATATGTAGTACGTTGATCGGATGGCAATAGATATAATTTTTCTGATACAATATTGTTGGTGTTGATTATCCAGTCCTAACTCATTTAGCATTTTTACGAATGTATGACATTCTTTGTCAAACACTCCTAGCGAACTGACAGAAAGATTTATAAATTTGACACATGTAAAGTTTTGATCCAGTTCTCTAATTAGGTTTTTATATTTAGCTTTCTTGCGGTTAACATTGTTTGTGAGGTTTGATTCAAAGCCTACGGTAAGTTCAACGACGTAGAGATGTTTGTCTGAAGTGGAGACAAGTAAATCAGGACGATATTCATCTCCCGTAATAATCGAGGGGCTTTGAAATCCAGGAAGATCAACATGTAATTTGCATTCGTTTAAACTTTGAAAAGTTTTAGCAAGAAAGTTTAGTATGCAATCGTGTCTCCAAGTAAATCGTTCCAGGTAATGTTGACAACCGGCAACAACGTGTAGAAGTGATTCAGGGTGTAAGCAGAACGAGCAGTCAGAACTTGATGAAATTCCCCATCTACTGAGGTTCTTTCGTGTAGGAAGGGTATTATTTATATAGCGAATTGTAAAGTTGAAAATGTTCTTTGGTAGCTTTGATTGCGATACCGACCAGATTGCGTTAAGTTGTGATAGCGAGAATTTAGAAACATTTTCGAAAAAGGAACCTTGACATTTCAAACGGTTCCTAAGTTTATTTTCTTGTTGAGAATGGAAAGTTTTTAAAACTTCTCTAGTTGAGTTGTAGCTATCGTATTGAATGTTAGTATGATTATTAGTTGACTTCCACAGTTCGTTTATTGAATCGTTTGGAGATGTTTTCAGGGCATTGCGTAGAACTGTTTGACACTGAATGAATTTGACTGATGCAGGGAGGATATTTAGACCAAACTTATTACGGGTTATAGAAAAACGTTACTTAGTGTTCCAGATATAGGTACTTCCAGCCATTTTCGGATGTACTTGTTCACCGAAGAATCGATATTTTCGACTACCCAAGTTTTAGATATCGTAGCAACAGTAAAATGCCAGGATAGCTTTGACAAAACATAACGACTGTAAAGTAAAATTTTGTTTTTTGGGTGAAGAGGTTTAAGATCTATTTCGGACATTAGTTCATCAATGAGGGAAATCACTTCAGATTTATGTTTTTCATTAGTCATGTTAAAGTCGAAATGTCGTCCCAAATACTCAAATGATTCCCCAGTCTTAATCGTTGGTATGAGATCCTTATTGATCAAAAGCTTCGGCAGGTACTGGGCAGATTTTGATAAAACTTTTTTGATGCCAAATGTGCTACATTTATCAACTCTAACAACCATGTTGGACCATTGACACCAGATAGAGAATCGATTAAGGAGATGTTGATTTTCCGACTCTTGACCAGTAATAACCGCAGCATCATCGGCAAACTGAAACCAGTGGATTGGATTATGAAGTTGGAGGGAGAAACCGAACTGACGGTACTTTTCAGTTTTGATATGTTGAATATATGTGTTGAAACACATATTAAATAGTAGAGGACTAAGACAGTCACCTTGCAATACACCACGGCCAACAGGCATAAA